ACTTGAAACTTTCACCATTTCTATAAAGTATTTAACTCTGAAACTTTAGAAAATTCCGTTAAAATTGCAATAAATTATGATTCTTGCGAAATTGAGAAACATTGTTCTAGAAATGAGCGTTTCAATTGTACGGTAATTTTGCAAAATTCCGAACTTCAAATCGGGAGCAAAACACGATTTTACATTCTCTGACTATAGAAAACAGTTGAATCTGAAACCCCTGAAAATTGCATTCCAATACATAATAAAGCCTGAATTTTGCTGACCTGGAAAATAAGGCCCAAAAAATGGACGTTTCCCCGAAACTGAACACTCTTCTTTAAAAATTCGTAACTTCTAATCCGGGGCCAGTTGCAGCTTGAGACTTTTGAAGCGTATAGAAAATACGCGAATGTGAGATTTGTGAAATTTTTATTAAAATTGTACAAAATTCTGCCCTTTGCCGACTTGAGAATGTTGTTCTGAAAATGAGCGATTCTGAACAACCTTCCTATCGATTTAAACATTTGTTACATCGACTCATCGGGCAAGCAAGTACCAACTTGAAACTTCGAAATTCCATAAATTTGAGTCTGAAAACTGTGGCAATTGCACTAAAATCGGCCGAATTCTTGAATTTTACTTAAAATTTGTTGGTTTAAGAATAAGGGTTTTCACAAAACCGCAGGCTTTCGTTTAAAAATTGTAAGCTTTTAATCTGAAGCAAGTAGCAACTTGAAACTTTCCCAGTTGAAGAAAATACTTGCTTCTGACACTGCTAAGCCTGAAGTGAAAATAGCACCGAAACGAAATTTTCGAGTCTTGTAAACTCAGCTTCAAAAACGATTGTTTCAAACAGCTAAAATACCATTTAAAACATGCAACTTCTGATCCAAAGCAAGTAGCAACTTAAAATGTTTGCCATCTATAGAGGACGCCTGATTCTAAAACTCTTGAAAGTGATGTTTAAAAGTAAAAACTTTAGGGCCTTCTTTATGGGAAAGAAATATTTTGACTAGCAAAAAAATTCGCGGTGTTTGAGGAGGCAAAGCCCTATCTGAAACAACATTGGCAAAATTATTGACCTCGCTGTCTTCGAAAGGGTGCTCTGTGCATTGTTGACCTGAAACTTTACCTAGATAAAGTCAGAAATACAACTTGACCTCTTCTCTAAACGATCACCCAACCTGAATTAGAGCCAGACAATGAATAATCGCGCTTGAAAGTAGCTCAAAGCCAAAGCAATATGCAACAAACGCAAATATCACGCGCAAATAAAAACTAAGTAACCTCTATTATTTACATAGACACTCCATAATTTGCGAACGTTGCCCAAACAAAACATCTAAACAATCTTGTGTATAAACCCCCTAAAAATAGCAGCTCGTTAAATTCTCCACACTGCAAGCCATGGGTATTTTAAGACACGCTTATTTTAAGAACATTCTGTTTCAGTTTCCAACTTCTTTGGGAATTCAGTCAGAAGTTGAATGACAGTGAACGGTCGCATCTGTCAAAAACATTGAAAAAAAATTACCGTTTAATCGGTTCGCGCAAACATTGGAAATCTGTGCTGGTGCTGTGCAATAGAGTCTAGTAAACCTGGATAATAAGCGATCTTTGAAATCAATAGGCGCGGGTCGTTAATAAGTGAGCGGATGAGTTACTCAGATCCTCCGGTTTAGTGGCAATTAGCAAACAAGCCTAATTGATTCGCTTAGTTATGCGGCTACCGAATGAAACTTTATCAAGTTTAACTGGAAACTCACGTTTCATTGAGGCAAAAGCCTTTTAAATGTTTGCTGTTGTTGTGATTGTTTCTGGTTCAATTTTCTTCTTAGGGTTTCCTTTATGATTGATCCCTCTGATTGATTCCTAAACGTTTTTATTTAATTAAAGCACGTAGTAGATACTACAAGTGATAACCAACAAATATATTTGCCACCGATCTGTTTCAGTGGCTTAATGAAAAATGTTATTTTTAGAGTTCTGTTACGTTCTGGCTTTCATCAAATCCTTGATAGTAGTGTTATTCAGGAAACGTGTCGGATGGGCAATTTTATTATTTACTCAAACGAGAAATTGCGCTTCCACTGGGAAAAACATCCATATTTCTAGCAAAAGGCCTAAGAAAACAGTGTAGTAAAATGAGTATTCGAAAGTTGTTTTCCACGAAGTTTTCAGGTAAGCGTCCATCGAGTCCGTTGAAAAGGGACAAGTGTTTCATTCCTCATGTGGACCTCATGGTGATTTATTATCTTACGTCCTTCCAATGCCTACTTTTTAATAAAAATGCTGGCAAACATTTCCCTGTATTCGGTCAACTCTCTTCCACTAAGCCAATATTTTCAAGTGTAAGCAAGGGCGAATCCAGGGGGGGGGTCATGGGGGTCATGTCCCCCCCCCATTCAATTCTCTATCCAATGATGCCAAAACGAATTCTGTGGCTCAAATGGTTCTTGAGAAACTTCGAAAAAAGCAGCGTCATGTTCAAGTGGATTTTGCAACTAAAAAAAAAA